TTGGACCAGTCTTCACACTTACCTGCCCGCTTAGGCGTTGGAACCCAGTTTAAGCCAAATCAGTACAAATCATCCCCACGGCCACCATGCTTGGTTCAGGTTTAGGCCCCTAACTTAATTTAGGCCAGTGAAAGAAAGACTTCTAGGATTTGTTTTTATGGTCACCAGGATGCTGTCATGTCTTAAGCTGTTGGGGACTGGGATGTGGATCCCTAGAATCAAGCCAACCCTTAGGAAATACAGTGGAAGAGGTTATAGTTTTTCACTAAATCAAACTGACCCAGAAGGCAGACTTATCCCTTACCTTCTATTAATTCCCCAAACTGAAAAATTCCCTTTATGCTTACACATAAAATTTTCATTAAATCTTCTGTCACGTGAGACAAAAAAGAATCCCTACACACTGCAGGTGTGAATTTTTCATGTACGTATGAATTGTTCAGGGTAGCTTGCTAAAATGCAGACTTCCAATGCCCAAACCTAAAATATAAATCAGGGCCCAGGAACTTGCATTTTACCAAACAGTGTTGCATTTTAACAGACTGTCTTGTTAAAGCAGTGCCCCTAAGCTGCATGCACATTTGTATAATGCAGATAACTAGCAAACCAAAGCTTGAGAAATACTGATATAGCTAATGCAGGAGACACTAGCAAACAATGATAAAAATCTGGGGAGGTGCAAAAGTATCAAACAGCAGCAGGAAGCAAAGACCATCCCTTGTCCTGAATCAGAAATAGGAAAATATTTTGAGCTGTCAAGAGTGGATTCCATATCCAGTGTACTGCTATTTATAATATCTTTACTAATTTCTCATAACTATTTCTTCCTGCTTTATGTGGGATGATCATATATCTCAGTTTGTCTAGAACTGTCCAGGATCCACCTGTCATTCTGGTGTAATTACTAATAGCACTTCCTTCCATTCTCAAAAGTGTTCGGGGTTGGATGATAAATTTTATGGTCACTCTCTTGCTTCATGGTAATCTGCACACACAAAAAGAGTTCTTTGTCTCTCTTGCTGCACTTGCTGAAATAGTCATACGCATTTTTTCTGTTTCATGACCCTGAGTAGCAGAGATTTTAATATCTTAGAATCATTACTGCCAAGCCTAAAAGTTTTAAAAATCTCAGAAATCTATGTGGCTCTGAGTAACATGTAAACTTAGTAACATATAAACTTACAGATATATGAATATATATACATAATATATGTATATATACATATGTTATAAAGCAATACATACTACTTTAATATTCTATACTTTTATTAAAATGAATTGTATTATTATTTACTTTAATAATATATAATTTAATAATTTTTAAAAAATTTGTGTATACAAACACGTTTAAAATGATTTGGAACACCCTATCATCCTTAGAGTTGGCTCATTCTAAGAAAGTGGAATATAAACCTACAAATCACATTGAGGAATACATTAGAGATAGGAAAGAATGCTGCAGGAACATGGGGAGAGATGACATCTTTGCCAATTTATACATGGCCTAGAGGTCCTATTGTCAGGGATTAATTCTGGAACAACTATAACTTCTGGTCACTTGATAAACGGTTGTGGTGACAGAGAAAAGAGAAGCAAGTGCTTTGGCAGGTGAGGGAAGTGATGCCAGTGCTCTTTTCAAAGATTTTTATGTACCTGGAATGGAGAGATTTGACAGAGGTTATCTATCACAGCGGTTTAAGTTTCTACTAAACTAACCTTAAAAAAAAAAAACCAACAACCTTGAATTGCTTTGATTTTCTTACTAATGCTAATTATAAATATTCAGTAAACACACAAAAAATTGCTTTCTTGTGTTTTATTTGAAATCAAGGAGTATTTGGTATTAAGTAGTACCTTTTTTCTACTTTAAAAAAGGTATACATTTGTTAAATATTCCAGGAGACACTATGGTTCCATATTCATGCTTTTCATGTTGGAGGAATTTAGTTCAGTGATTTCTGCCTAACAACTGTTGTTTCAAGATAATTTGCCCACTGCTTGTTTGGTTCTGCTCAAACACAGCTGTAAGTTCTTTCTTTCTATATTTGGAGATGGAGTGACTGATGGCTGGGCATCAACCATCTGGAAAAGGGTGTGTTGGGTGGAAGAGAGGAGAAGGGACAGAGCAATGCATAGCTTCACTACATGGCTGGGAGTCAGTATAAGAGTTTTGTATATTCTGTATTCCTTCCCTGATCTTGACCTCTGACTCTATATGGTTAAAAGAGGAAATGACATCCTTTATAAGTTTTTTGTCAGTTTTATCAAGCGTAACGCCTCCCTTTTAGAGTCAACATTATGTTTACACCCTCTCCACTTTCCGAAAACTAATTCATAAATAACATAAAAGCTATACATATATACTTAAAATTATGACAATGATAATATAAAAAACAAATTTTATGAAAACAATTCATAAAAATCACATATATTTCAATACATAATGTACAGCCATGTCTCACAGAGACATATAATGGAGTAGTGAAGTGCTTGCATCTAAATTTAGATTTACCCTAAATGTAGCAGTTACAAAACCGGACTGACACAGGTGCATTCTATCAGTGCCTCAAATACTATGAGTAATTAGCCACTGGTGGCATGATATTTTAAAATGAGATAGACCCTTGGTAATGTTCAAAAAAAAAAAAAAAAGGGCAGTGTTTCGTTACGTTACATAGCTGCTTCATTCCTGGAAAATTTAATGTGTATTAAAACCTTTCAAAAATACTTACATGTGAAATGCAGTTCTAGGCACAGATTATACGCAGGTTTTTCACCTCCATGAATGTCTGGAAGGACATCCAGGAAGTCATGCATGACCTGGGGCAATTCTTCAAGGGATGGGACTGCACTTTGCATTTCAGGATGTCTAGCAGCCTTGGTTCCTTCCCAGCAAATAGTAGCAGTGCCCTGCCCCAAAACTGAGACAACTAAAATACCATCCTCCATTTCCAAAGTGCCCTCTCGGGGATAGTATTAACTCCACAGAGGACTACTAAGCCTGTACAATCTACTCGATCCAGAAATCATTTAAGTAGGGCCTTATTTTTATTTTTTTCTTTCAAGTGCTATTGTTGGAAGACCCATCATCAAGTTCCAATTAAAATGGAACAATCATCTTTTCAGGGCGGATTCTCAACAAATAGTTGGGAGAATGGACAGAATCTATGTTATTGTTTATGTATGCATTTTATTTAAATTGCAAACAACCTCAAATTTTTAGTGGTGTATAATAATAGATAATTATTTTTTCTCACTTACTAGTTTGTGATTCAGCAGGGGTTCTGCCAGAGTTCAGAAAGATTTAACTCTAGGCTGATCATCAGAAACTTGATTACTGGTACTGCCACAGATGTGGGAGAAAAGTTTCCTTATTTTGCACATCATTAGCAATTTTTGATACAAAGTCCTTAGTAAAAGAGTTTTACTTGAAGTTAGAACTTCAGCTGCAAGGGAGACTGGAAACATGAGATTCTGATTTTTTTCATCTTATTTAGTGGGAAGTTGGTTCTGCATCCAAGATTCATACGGTGGATGTATCATTTAGTTTGGGTAGGATTATGCCATGTAACAAATAATCCAGCTCCCAAATCTCCATAGCTTAAAATAATAATTATTTATTTTTTTCCTTATATGACACAGTAGTTGTGGATTGTCAGTGAGGCCTGGGATCATCATAATCTGTCTAGAACCTGGATTGCTAGAGCAGCTATCATCTCAAACACTGCTATTCAGTGTGCCAGAAAGAGAAAGCTTGGTGAGCTGGCATTAAAAATTACCAGCTGGCCATGACAAATCTCACTGCTAATTACATTTTATCAGCCAAAGCAAATCAAATAGCCAAGGTGGAAAGTATAATCCTGTCATGTCCTAAGGAAGATGCTACATGTATCTAGTGTTCTGAACTAATGACAACCATGATGAGAAATTTCCCAAACATGGAAACAGGATTCAGATGCTGAACAACCAAAAAACAAGATATCCAAATCCACTAGAGACTGCCTTATTTATATCTTTTCCATGTATAACCATGCTCAGTCGATCTAGCTCAGTAGCTACTAGTGACAGAGTAGGTGCTGAATGAATGTTTGTTGAATAAAAAACAGAATATGATTGTTTAATTTACCAACTCTTACTATAACTGAAGCTTAAAGAGAGTTACTTTGCTGTTTAACTCTACACTATGAAGCAAGATAAATGTAAGTGTCATTTGTATGCAATGTTGCACTTGAAAGCCAGAGTGGTACAGTAGAAAGGAAGGCAAAAACATGTTTCGTCTCTATATTACTTTGAATGTGTTCACTCATTGCTTTTTCCCTACAGCAGGGATACTGTTTCCTGTGCTTAGTAGAGTTTGGGACGGTAGGTTATTCAGGAAAAGCAGTCCTGCTATCATTAGCTGTGTAGTCTTGGGGAAGTCATATCAAAGCAGCCATAGGTTAAGGGTATTCAGCTGTGCCCACGCGCAGGCATGCACACACATCTTAGCAACATTCGTCTTTGTATGGTAAAGATCTCCAAGACTGGAAGGCGAACCAATTGTACAATTGTGATTGTCATGTGACATATTTACAGCCTAGTGTCTACCACAAAGTATCCATTCAAGGCAGGTGCATTGATTTTCTAACAGTAACCATGCTCTATTCTTGATGTGGAATGGGGTGGGTATCTAAGAAAGCATGTAGTAGTGCATTTCAAAAAGTTTGCCCAGGGTCCTGGGTAGAGGGTTTTGGGGACGTGGTTCCCAACGAATCAAGAATAACAAGCAATGCCCTTCGTCCTCCGATCTCAAAGGTCAAACACTTCACAACTACCAGTCCGCACCAAGCGCTCGCGTTCCTTCCTTCGCTCACCAGGGCCCCGCCCGCTGGCGGTCGGCTAACGACCGCAAAACCCCGCCTCCCGCAGCGTCCAGCCAATCGGCTGCGCGGCCCGGGCCCAGCCCTCGCGAGTCACGTGACAAGGCCAGGCCCGCTTCCGGCACGTCGCGGGCGGCTGACGTCGCCGGGGTCCGGCGTCGCGTCAGGGCTGGCCGGCGGCGGAGGCGGCGGCGGCGGCGGCGGCAGCGGCGATGGCAGCGGACCCAGAGCGAGCTTGAGGGCTCGGACCCGGCTCCCTCCTGCGAGACCTTGGGCCGTTCCGGCGCTGCGGCCCCAGCTCGCTCCGCTCCTGCTCCCTCCCCGGCCGCTGCCTGGGCGGAGGCGGAGGCGGAGGCCCGGGCTGGCCGCCCTTCTCGTGCCCCGGCTCTGCCCCGGACGGCCCGGCTGCTGTGCAGAGAGGAGGCCGAGTCGGTAAGAGGCGGCGGCGGCTGGGCCTGGAGTCCGCCTGGCCCCCGCCGGGCCGCCCGGGACGCCCCCATTCTGGTGTCTCTCCCCGGCCCGCTCCCCTCCCGCCCCCCTCCCCGTAACTCGCCGGCCCTATTGTCTGGGCGCCGCCGCTCCCTCTTCCCCTCCCCTCCTTCCCCCCTGCCGAGGGCCGGACGACTGTCAAACCTGGAGGCTTCTCCAGCTGCCTGCCAGCCCGGGCTCAGCCTTTCCTGCTCGTGTCTTGCCGCCCCCTCCCTGTCTGGCCTCACCTCCTCACCTTTTTTGGCCTCGCGGTCATTCTCTGACCATTGCTTTGTATTGTCTATCTCTATGTCTTCCTGCTCATTTCTTCTTCCCTCTCACTTGTCATCTCCCAAAACTTCCACTGTCCTGTTTCTTGCCAATCTTTACCCGATTCCTGTCTGTTTTTACTCCTCTCCGTGCTGTCTGCCTTCTTTTTGCTTCAAGTTTTACTCCCAGTAGACTGTCTTACTTTATAAAAGTTCCTTAATTCAAATCCCCCTTCATCTTTCCCTCTTCCACCCTAAGACAAAGGAAAATCTTGGTTATTCTGGTACTTCATCCCTGTCACTGGGGGATTATACTTATTCAGTCCATCACTTAATTATGAGCTCTAAGTTTGATCCTGGAAGATGTTAGTGTACCTGGTGAACCACCCCTTACTGTATTCTTCCTGTGACGGACAGCAGAAGAGGTTGATTCGATTTCTACACAAACATTTTTCAGTAACTGCCTCACATGTTGCGGACTGACAAGACCTCTATTAAAAATATTCATGCATTTGTTCTTTTGTATCAGCTACACCCTGGCCAAGCTCCCTGTTAACTTTTTAATGCCTTAATATTTGCTCATGCCAGGAGGGTATGCACTCTCCCTTTCCAACCATGAGTATTCAAGTTTGAGTTCGCATATTTTCATGGCCAGTGTTGGTGCTATTTTTCCCCTTACCTATCAGATTCTTTCAAAGAGAAAAGAAGGAGCAGTTGGAATTTTATGTTTGCTGTTCTGTCTGTTATGAATTGTGGCCAAACCGTTATAAAAAATGACAGTTGTGTGTGTTTCTTTTTTTCTTTTTAAACTGTAGGGAGCATAGTCATTAGTGATCTTAAATATCAAAGAACATCTTAGGGATCTCTCCTTGCCCCTGATAACAATCAACTTACTTTCCTAATTATGAGCTATGTTTTGACTAGGCTGTCTCAAAATGTATTCATATTCCTCATATACCCATTAGTGAAAAAGAGGTCACCTCAGATGTGCTTGGTGGCCAGTGTGGCCCAAAGTATAGTAGTTTCCATGTGAATTATGTAGACATACATAGGTCCTCCTTTGCAGTTTTTGTTCTTACGTTGCAACCACTTTTATTATCAATGTGGACACTGTCTATATTGAAACATAGTAGAAATACTCACAGTTAACAAAAGCATGTTATTATTGCTTGTTGAATATGAAGTATAAGAAAGCAGTTTCTTTTGTAACACTATGTATTGAATTATGTACTACCAAGGTGGGAGATCATGGATAATGAAAACTTCTGATCCCAGGAGGAATTAGTGGTATCGTCACTGGTAGAGGAGTGTGTCTACTGTTTCCTCCATCTTTGTGTGCTGTAGGGCCTTATCTAGTGTTTTGTATTATGAGGCACTCAACAAATACTTGTTGAAATTAAAAACTTGATTTTGTTCTCAAGAATTGCGGTAGTCATATTCCAGAACACTCAGCCATCTTAATTTTTCAAAGGCAGGAAAGCATTTTCAGCTGTCCCTGTGGAGAATTTTCTTGGGTAGCTTCAAGCTAAAATATAAAGTGTTTTTAGCTGTTGACAAGTTTTAACAGCCCATGTATTCATTCTTTTCAGATAGTTTTCTTTGTTCTCTTTCGTAAGTCATTATCAAGATTGCAGGTCGCACAGTACTTTATTAGAGATTTTGGTAATCCTTCACATTTCTTAAAAATTTGGCAAGTATTTTATCTTCTCATGTATTGTTTTAGAAATTCTGTTTCATTTTAATTTTACCTGTTCCCTTATACTCTACTTCCTATGCATTTTCTGCATTGGAATCTAACTTTTTTCTTTCTCTTGAGGTAGTGAAAAGAGAATACTGAAGAATAGGATCTCAAGATGAGTAAAAAGCCCCCAAATCGCCCTGGAATCACTTTTGAGATTGGTGCTCGTTTGGAGGCACTGGACTACTTACAAAAATGGTATGGAAAATATAGAACTTTCACCTAAAGCACAATATCTGTAGCCTTACATATGTTAATTAAGACAGTGAATTCCACTGATGGTAGCGGAAACATCAGTGTATTCACATTTTGATTACACATGTACGTTGTTTTTTAGTCCTGCTCTTTAGGCTTTGTAGGTTTAGCATTTAAAAACTATTTTTAGTCAGAGTTATTTAGTACAATCATTTTCAGTGTTTGAGAAATGAAAATAATTGCCTAGAGTGTGAGGTTTGTGGAGAGTATCAATACCCCTGTATACCTCACATGAGTTGTATCAGTGGAAGTAGAGAGAGGAGTAATCCAGAGAACCAGCTTCTTAAGTTTTGGATAAATTTTGATTTAAATCTGTATTTTTGGTCTGTCATTGGTAGTCTTTCAAACTACAGAGTATATTAATGGTTAGCATAGGATTTTTAAAAATTGATTTTACTTTAAGTGCTGGGGTACCTGTGCAGATGTTGCAGGATTGTTACATAGGTATACACATGCCATGGTGGTTTGCTGCCTCCATCCCCCGTCATCTACATTAGGTATTTCTCCTAATGCTATTCCTCCCCAGTCTCCCCACCCCTTGCTATCCCTCCCCTAGCCCTCAACCCCCAACAGACCCCAGTGTGTGATGTTCCCCTCCCTGTGTTCATGTGTTCTCGTTGTTCAACACCCACTTATGAGTGAGAACATGGCAAAGCATTTTTTTATAGTGAACACTTTTGAAAACATCTCCACTATTCATTATCCCACCTAAAACTAAAATCACACTTAACTTTCTATTTACCCTGGAGGACTGTAACCTAAAGGCAGGTTGTTACTGTCTTCATTGCAAAATAGGCTATCCTTTCAGAACTTGCGTGTCTCCCCCTAGTCTGGCCGTTGTGTTAAGTGGTAAATTTAAATACCTCCCATCGTATCCTTTATACAACGAAAAGTTGAAGAATTGGTACAAAACTACCATCTGGAAAGGAGAGAAGGGTAAGCCACACACAGGGGTCCCTGGGCCAGAGTAGGAATTAGGGTGATTCTCCTTTCTCCTAAGGAGTGTATTCCTCATTTGGCTTAACTGACACCTTGTTCTGCTGTCTTGGCAGATGTCTTTTTGTTGCCATTCTCAGGTTCTTAACCTGAGAGGGACATCAGAGGGTTTCCCCTTCTGGGAGGGATGCTGCCTTTGCTCCTCCTGAAGCCCATTTATTTTGATACAAGCCCTGATTTAGCAGTTCCTGGACTCTCCCATACTTTTAAATGTTTTCTCATTTAAAACCATAGCGGGCATTTTGTAATTTACTTCTGATTGATTTGCATTAAGTCAACTTCCTGAGTTGGCAATGGCAGGCAGAGAAATCTTGTTTAGTCATGGTATTTGACTGTATAGACCAGGCTGGTGTTTCTCTGTCTTAACATCTGGTGTTAGAGGTTGGCATGTATCTCTGACCCCAGCTTAATGGCCTCTTGTCTTGAGCCCTGCTTTAGGACAGTTTGAAACTACAATTTGAGATGAGGAGGTTAATTGTCACTGTCAGTAGGTGGAGAATGTACATGATAGCTCCCAGGAGGCGTTTGGGAAGCACTTGGGAATTAGACAGTAGCATCTCTCCTTGTAATGACAGTCAAATTATCTCCAGACATTGCCAGATGACAGCTGGAATGAGGGTGAGTGGCAGCAAAAAATGCTCCTGTTGAGAACCTCAGCATTAGACCATGCAACAGAAAATGCTAGTTGAGGCAGCAGTTGGCTATGACCACGAGAAGCTTTTTACTCCAAAGGCATACTGTTGAATCTCTGTGTGATACAAGAGTATAAGAAATAATACTTGTTACTTGTTCAATGTTACCCTTAAGTGGTTTATGGATTTTTAAGTTACTGGCTTTGTGAATTAGTTAATTCATATTAATATATTCTCTTAGGCTTCTCAACTGACAGTGCTGCAGTTGAACTAGCTTCTCGTTTTAGAGAAATGCATAGTTAATTAGTTCTGTCAGTAATTTTCAGGGATAGTAATATGACTTTGATATTAGTGAGATATTTTGGTAATGCAACATTTTCTAACTTAGTAGCTACTAAATTTATGATCCAGTATTTCAAAAGACTACAAAAAAGAACTCTTAAAACCTTGCTTGAGGCCAGGCGCGGTGGCTCACGCCTTTAATCCCAGCACTTTGGGAGGCTAAGGTGGGTAGATCACATGAGGTCAGGAGTTTGAGAACAGCCTCAACAACATGGTGAAACCCTGTCTTTACTGAAAAATACAAGAATTAGCCAGGCATGGTGACGGGTGCCTGTAATCTCAGCTACTCGGGAGGCTCAGGCAGGAAAATTGCTTGAATCTGGGAGGTAGAGGTTGCAGTGAGCCAAGATCACATCATTGCGCTGTAGCCTGGTTGAGCCACAGAGCAAGACTACACCATCTCAAACAAAAGAAAAAAAGCAGAAAGAAACCATGCTTGAATGTACCTTGAGAGTATTCTGTGTTTTTAGAGTACTTGGGATTTCAGAGAACTGATGAAAGTTGTATCTTCTTGCCACAAAATTCTTATGTGCTTACTAGATAGTGTCATGCAAATGTACTCACTGATAAAGCTTACATTTAGTTTTAATGACCTTGATAATAATAGTCTCTTTAATGGAAATAAGCATTAGCCAGAATAACTGCATATCATCACTGACACTTGTTATCAGTTTTATTTTTATAAGTTCATTTATATAAAGATTTTGATACTCTGTTTCAGGTGGCTCCTTAATTAAAAAAGAATTGAGAATATTGTATATATGTATTCTAGGTAATTTACAAAAGTAATTTTCTTATTGTGATTTTGCTTATTAACTACAGTAGTTTCAAGAACTAGTTAGGCTTGGGTGCCCCTTAGATTTAGGTGGTTTGCTATTGGACAACTATTTAATTAATGAGATGTCTTGAATTTTATATGGGACACAAAAGTTTTATGAGATTAGTGTTCTTAACAGATTTTATTTCTAAATGGGATTATAAACTTAATTGTTCATGTTATTCCATATGTAAATGATCATTTTATATTTCATGGAAATTCTATAAATTTTTGCATTAATATTAAGTAAAATTATACGATTGATTGATGAGAAACTGACGTTCTTGTGAGAAGCAAAATATTATAATCATTGAAAATATATGGAAATTCTTTTCTCCCTCTTCCCCCACTGTTCTCTCTTTCCCTTCTTTCATATTCTATTTTTTGCATCCATATTGAATGCTTAGTCTTCCAAATTTATTCAATTCTCTTTGAAAAGTATTGAGTCATCTTTGAGATAAATGTAGTTTCAACTATTATAGGCATTGGATAGGGAGGAGCAGGAATGCAGATCTTGCTTACTGTCTCTATACTCAAAACATTTACAATAAGCAGCATATTAATTAGAAACTAACTTATCACGTTGATAAATTACCTTTTGGAGAGAAGTGCAAAAGGAAAATGGTGCTAGTGAAGAAACCAAAATGCCTATTAGTTTTTCTTGCTTTTTTTTTTTTTTTTTTTTTTTTTTTGAGACAGAGTCTTGCTCTGTTGCCCAGGCTGGAGTGCAGTGGCATGATCTTGGCTCACTACAGCCTCTAGCTCCTGGGCTCAAGCAATCCCCTCACCTCAGCCTCCTGAATAACTGGAACTGTAGGTGGGCACCCCAATCTGGGCTAATTTAAAAAAAAAAAAAAAAACCCAACTTTTTAGGTAGATATGAAGTGTCACTATATTGCCCAGGCTGGTCTGGAATTCCTGGGCTCAAATGATCTTCCCACCGCAGCCTCCCAAAGTACACTCCTGGCTGGTTTCTCATATTTTAAAAAGGAAAATAGTTTTTGGTATATGTCTAGACATAAAAGGATAAACTCTAAATTTAGTAGGTAGAAATAATCTGAAGTTAAGCTCTCACTTTTAGCTTTGGGTAGATTTGATTTAATAGGAAGACTCAGTCTGTTTCTCAGGAATTATTGCTTGAACAAACCATATTACATAATTCTTAAAGATCAGAAAGATACATTATCTTGAAAATACGTTGTACCTTTTTAAGTAGTGATTTATTTTTATTTTCAAAGTAACTGTAACTACATTGGTGGTTTATTTACCAGTGCTAATGAATGCAGGCCCTGAGAAACCACCGAGAGGTCAGTCATCTTAGTCCCAGTATTTGCTTTTTGATACTTGGGTCTCTCCTACATTGACCAAACCTAACTCCTGAGTAGTGTGGGCTGTTTTATTTTTTAAAATATTATAGCTTTGCAATATTTTTAAAACATTTTCTTTTAACTTTCTTTTTTTGATAGGGAGTCTCACTCTGTTGCCAGGCCAGAGTGCGGTGGCATGATCTCGGCTCACTGCAACCTCCGCCTCCTGGATTCAAGCAGTTCTCCTGCCTCAGCCTCCCGGGTAGCTGACACTACAGGTGCACGCCACCAATCCCAGCTAGTTTTTGTATTTTTAGTAGAGACGGGGTTTTACCATGTTGGTCAAATGGTCTCGATCTCTTGACCTCGTGATCTGCCTCTGCCTCCCAAAGTGCTGGGATTACAGGCATGACACTGCTCCCGGCCTTTTCTTTTAACATTTTCAATCATTTGCATAAAGACTTTAACGTGCTAATGTTTACAGCTAACATAGTCAATCATTTTTTCCTTTTTATAATCATATTTTTCATACCAAACTCTGTGCATCCAAACCTTGATAGTGAGTTTTATAACCTCTTGAAGGTAGTAACATCATAAGAATAAAAATGAGTGTAGGTGTGTTGATACAGAAGTATATTTGGGGAAGGAGAAAGTTCAGAGTCAAGGTTATGTTGGAGACACTGTAAGTCGGTGGGTTTAAATTCAGACTGTTACTAATCCTGTACATATGGGTAGGTCCTTTAACTTGGTTTTCTTGGCAGGAAAATGGAAGCAGTGTTACTGGCTTTTATTTAGAGGTTGGTTTTTAAGGTTCAAATAAATGTATGTGCTGCTTTAAATTCTGCAGAT